GTTGGTGGAGGGATTGATTGGCATCCGGCTGCCCGCGGGGGGCACCGGCTCGGGGGCTCCCCTGCCGGCGGCGGCCAGAGCTCGCTCGGCTCCGCGCTCTCGAAGTCCAGAGGGATCTCCGGGTCGTCGTGTGCGAACGAGTAACACCCGCACGGCGCGTCCAGGTTGCGGAAGCGGCGCCGACCAACGGCGCGCCGCCGCGCGCCGCCGAGGAGCCCGGTCGCCAGCAGCAGCCCGCCGAACGGCGAGCTGGCGGGCCCGGCTGGTCCCCTCTCCTTCGCCGGCCTGGCGAGGAGGTGGGTGGCCGGCGACGCTGCGCGGCGGGCGGTTGCCGCTGTCGCACAGCGGCCGGCCCTTTTTTTCCGAGCAGCGGCGGTGGCCGGGTGCATGCCCTCCGCCTGGCAGCTGGGCGCCCCGAGACGCAACGTCGCGCGCCAGGCGCCCGCTTCCAGGCACCCCTGGGATCTCGTGGGTCTCCAGAGTGGGCCTCTGGTGTCCCAGGCCTCGGGCCAACTGCGGCCGACCCCCAGCTTGACCCAGAAAGGCTTGAGCCGCCAGTGAGAGAGAGAGAGAGAGAGAGAGAGAGAAAAAGAGAAAGAGAAAGAGAAAGAGAGAGCAGATCAATGGCATAGTCACAGAGACGGAACTCGCGCATCTCTCGGGGCCGAAAAGGCTCATCGCTTACAGCAAACAACTAATGTATGTTGCTCGGCACTGATTTGCATTAGTTTGCGTTGCGTCGCGTGGCTGTGCGTTTCATTTGCGTTGCGTTACGTTGCTCTGCGTTTCCCAGCTTGGATTTGACTTGCGTCGTTGCTGCGTGTTGCTTCGCATGGCCTCGCGCGACCTTGCATTGTTTTATATTGTTTTTCACGTCTGTGCCTGTCTGTGCAATGCTGCGCGTTGCTGTGCTTTGCTTTGCGTTGTTTTGCCTCGTGCTGCGTTGCTTTGCGTTGCGTTGCCTTGCTTTGCGTTGTTTGTAGTACTTTGCACTGGTTTACACTGAGTCAGAAGGCGTGGCATGGTTTTTCGGTGTTTTGGTCCGCGCATGTTGCGCCACGTGGATTCTCCTTTTTAAAAAGAGAATAGATTCTCCCCCCCTGGACTTAACGCTTCCCCCTGGGATAGTATAATTTCATACATATTCTGCACACTCGTCCATCCTAAATATGAAATCATACCATCCCAGGCAGGCCTGTTCCCCCCCCCTGAGGGTCCCTTGTAAACAAAAGCACACTGCGGAGACATTTGTTGTTCTAACATAGCACTTTGTCACAAATCCCTTGCAAAAAATAGGACGAAATGCACACGCGCGCGTCGTCGCGCGCGCATGCCGAAATCCTTCAAAAACCTTCGGTGCCGGAAGGATTTCGCAATCGAGTTTCCCCAAAAAACATACAAACACACAGGGTTTCGCAACACTGATTTGCTAAAAAAGCTTCCGCGCGAGCTCTTGCGAAATCTGAAGAAAACCATGGGTTTTTCAAGATTTTCACAACATGCTACCAAACGGGCGTCGCGCGCGCATGTCGAAATCTGTCGAACGCCCTTGCGCGTGTGCCGTCGCGAGAATCCTCTGCAAAAAATGGGACGAAGTGCAGACGCGCGCGTCGTCGCGCGCGTACGCCGAAATCTTTCAAAACCCATCGGTTTCGGAAGGATTTCAAAATCGCGCGTCCAAAAAACCTACAAAAACCCACGGTTTCGCAACACGGATTTTCAACAAAAGCGTGCGCGCGCGCTCTTGCGTCGTCGTCGTCGTCGTCCTCCCTCTTCCCTCGTTGTCGTTGTCGTCGTCGTCGTCGTCGCCGTCGTCGTCTTCTGTGTTTCCTCGTCGTCGTCGTCGTCGTCGTCTTGGCGTCGTCGTCGCTTCCGTCGTCGTTGTCGCCGTGGTCGTCTTTCCTCCCTCGTCGTCTTCGTCGGCGTTTCGTCGTTGTCCCTCCTATTTCGTCGCCGTCGTCGTCGTCGTCGTCGTCGTCGTCGTCGTCGTCGTCTTCACTCCTCCCTCGTCGTTATCCTCCTCCCTCGTCGTCGTCGTCGTCCGTCGTCGGCGTCTTGTCGTCGTCCCTCCTATTTCGTCGCCGTCGTCGTCGTCTTCGTCGTCGTTGTCGTCGTCTTCGTCTTCCCTCCTCCCTCGTCGTTGTCGTCGTCGGCGTCGCCGTCCTTCCTCCTCCTTCGTCGTTCGCGTCGTCGCCGTCTTCCCTCATCCATCGTCGTTGTCGTCGTCGTCGCCGTCGTCGTCCTCCCTCCTCCCTCGTCGTCGTCTTCGTTGGCGACGTCGTCGTCGTCTTCGTCGTCGTCGTCGGCGTCGGCGTCGTCGTCGTCTTCGTCGACGTCGACGTCGGCGGTGTCGTCGTAGTCGGTGTCGGCGGCGCCGTCGTCGTCGTTGTCGCTGTCGTCGTCGGCGTCGGTGTCGTGGCCAAGTGCCATGTGGTACCTACCGTCACGGTCTTGTCTTAAGAAGTCTTGCGACCAAGTTGCGGGTGGGTGGGTGGGATGTTTGCGCGAGCAGTGGAGGTGGTCGGGCGCGGTGCAGGGTAGTCAATTGCACCGTCTAGAATGCACCAAGTCGATTGCACCTAGATTGCATTGCGTATATTGCAATGAAACATTGTTTGGTGTTTGCGCTGGCTCACATGCGTGTGTATGTGTATATTGATGTATGTCTGTTTGTTTGTTTGTTTGATTGTTTGTTTGTATGTATGTAAATATGTATGTACGGTAGGTTTGCGTCGTGTCGACCAGCGGCGACCCCAGCGCCGGCGTTCAAGGTTGAACGCCGCCGGCGACCCAGAATCGATCGATGTTGAACGATCGGCCGTTGCGGCAGCGGCCGCTCGTTCCAGGTTGAACGATCCCCGCGGTGTCAGAAACCAACGCCGGGGTCGACACGACGCGAACCTGCCGTATGTATGTATGTATGTATGTATGTATGTATGTATGTATGTATGTATGTATGTATGTATGGTTGTATGTATGTATGTACGTATGTATGTAAGTATGTATGGATATGTATGTATATGCATGTAGATGCATGTTTATGGGTGTATGTGCTTATGTATATATATATATGTATGTATATGTGTGTGTATATATATGAGGTTGGGTGGTTCGTGCGTGCTGGCGAAGCGAAGCTGCGTGGGCTGGCGAGAGGGATGACTCCTTTGTGGCTCGGGAGGGTCCAGAGCCTTAGACCACCCCTCCTCCCTCCCCGGTGGGCGGGCGGTGGCTGGGTTGTCCCGCCGTGGTGTCTCGTCGTTGTCCGTTCCTCCCCCGCGATGGGTGGGCGGTGGCCAAATTGTCCCGCCGTGGTGTCTCGTCGGTGTCCCGTCGTTGTCTCGTTGGTATTCCGTCGCTGTCCTGTGGCTGTCCCGTCGGTGTCCCGTTGGTGTCCCGTCAGTGTCACGTCGGTGTCCCGTCGGTGTCCCGTTGGTGTCCCGTCGGTATCCCGTCGGTGTCTCGTCTGTGTCCCGTGGTGAGATCGATCGTGGGATCACATCGCGGCGCAGCATCGTCACAACGCGTCGTCGCCAACTCGAAGGCGCATCACCAGCCTCGTCATCATCACAGCAGTTGTCGTCAGTTTGTTTTTTCCCCCCACCACCAAATTCCATATCACCCGACAGGCGGCCGTATAGGTACATCTATATTTAGGACTTGCATCTAGTTGCTCAGTCTAAAGTTGCTTCCACTATCTGGATTCGTTGTGCCGATTTCTTGGATTTCATCTGACGCGATATGCGTTATTTCATTATGTTAATTCTGCATGTGCAATATGCTGTCCTGTAGCACGTGTGTGCACACATGTATGGTATGACAATTGGAATTTCATTCCGATGTGTATTTCCCACGTGGCACAATGGAACAACCCACGGGACGTCTCCAAGACACACCGCGGGACGACGCACGGGGAAACTCACGGGACAACTCGGGGCTCAACCCAGAAAATGACCCACAATCCAGGAAACCAGCCACAGGACAACCACGGGACAACAACAACAGGACAGCCACGGGACAACCACGGGACAATACGCGAGACAATCCACGGGAGAACCACGGGAGAACCCGCGAGACAATCCAGGGGACACCCACGAAACAACCAATAGGACAGCTCACGGGACAACACACAGGACAAGCAAGAGACAACTTGGGGGACAACCCACGCAATCCTCAGGGAGCAATCGCAGGACAACGCGCGGGACAGCGCACGGAACAACCACGGGGGAACCCATGGGACAACCACCGGACCGACCCGCGGGACAACCCACGGGACACCCATTGGACAACCACGTGAACAACCTTGTGGATAGCCCACGGGGCAATCTCAGGACACCTTGTGGGACAACCCAGAGGACAACCCACGGGATTATCCACGGGATAATCTCGGGAGAACCACCGAACTCCACGGGAAAGCGCACGGAATAACCGCGGGAGAATTTGCGGGAGGATTCATGGGATAGCAAGAAGAAAACCCATTGAAACATCCACAGGGCGACCCACGGGACAACAAACGGGCAGCCGCGGGACAACCAACGGGTCACCCCATGGGGCAACCCACAGGACAACCACGGGACAATTCATAGAACAACCTCGCAGGCCTTGGCGACGCATGCAGCGAATTTTGCTTGTTCGACTTGGCCCTGGCCACGGCCGACACATCTTCGCCACCGCGCAGCTTCGCCTCGCCGGCACACGTTACAGGAAGCGAAGCCGAAACTCATGTATTGGCTGGGGCCACTTGATTGTCACGCCCAACCTCCGATCTGTTATGCCGCCAGATCTACCTCGTTTGCGATCCGTAGCCATTGCGGTTCAATGTGGGCGGACTTGACGGGGCAATGGACGCTACATTGTTTTTTTCGGGGAGCGCCGTCATAGCACGTTTGCATTATGTGCGCAAGTTGAGCGTGCATTTTGCAGCACCGCGCCTCATTTGCCATGGTAAGCTGCCGTGGTCTCGGGCAGACTGTACGGCGATGGGTGCCGAAAATGCCCATCAGGCTGGTGATCTATCTTGGCCAGCCAGTCGTGCTATTTGCCGCCGCCAGTCACGCAGACACTGCAGAGCACCGTCATCTTGATCGTCCTGAAGTGGCGAAGACGCTCATCGACGAGCTCTTCTTGGGCTTCGACCCGCTCCTCGCGGCTCTGCCGCCGAGCTTCGCAGAGAGCGCGCGGCCGCCAGACCAGCACATCACGCGTGTGTCACCTGATGATATTGACATGGTGCTCGAGATGGCAGCGCAGCCGGTCCTCCTCTGGCTCGAGCTCGGCGCTTTCGAGGGCGGGTCCGCCATTCTGACGGCGCGCCGCGCCGCGGCCAGGGCGGCCAAGGCCCCGTTCGACGCCAGGACAACAGTCGTTGCCGTCGACACCTTCGTCGGCGACAGGAATGTCATCTGGACGAGGCCTCCGGCGGAGCGGCGTGAGCTCTTACGCCCTGATGGCACCATCGCTGATGTGCCTGTTTTCCACTACCACCACCATAAGTTGGAGAGGGAGGGGGTCCTCCTCCTCCTCCTCCTCCTCCTCCTCCTCCTCTTCATCGTCCTCCTCCTCCTCCTCCTCTTCCTTCACCTCCTTCCCCCCCTCCAACTTATGGTGGTGGTGGTGGTGGTGGAAAACAGACCCCTCAATCGCTTTGTACGACAGGTTTCGAGCGAACGTGCTTAGGGCTGGGCCCGCAGCTGCCCTGGTGCTGCCGCTGCACGCCACCTCCGTCACTGCGCTGCGGCTGTTGCCCGAGCTGGCCGATCAGGCCGTGCTGCCGAGGCCGCAAGTGATCTACCTCGATTCAGCACACGAGGCTCGGGCCAGGAGGAGCTGTGCACACGCACCGATCCTGGCCAGGCCCATCCCAGGCCCGGGATCGGTGCACGTGTCTCCTTGGCCGAGCCAGGAGGGCGTATGCACCGATTCTGGGCCCAGGGTTGGCCTTGCCAGGATCGGTGCGTGTGCAAAGTTCTCTTCCGTCTAGAGGCGGGCGAGGTCTTCCTTGAGCTGCAGTTGGCTTGGGAGGCTGTGTCCCCTGGTGGGATTGTCTTCGGAGACGACTGGGCCTTCCCAGAGGTGCGGCACGATGTTCTGTCTTTCGCGGCAACGCTGGGGGCGGATGTCGACGACTCGTTGGGGCAGCAGTCTGCGACGGCTCGCAGCCCGCGCACATTGGGCAGGATACGGCGGGGCCTCTTTGTCTCGTACCGCAGCTTCCAGTGGTTCATGCGAAAGTCGCCGGAGCCGACCCGTACTGGCAGAGGAAACCTCTCCTTGGCCTGCCGTATAGCTGCTACTGCAAGTCAAGGGGCGGCTGGCGAGGACTGCTGGAGCGGCGGCTTCGGCGCAGGGGAGTGCTGCGATGAGGAACGGCATGGCCCGGGGGGCAACCATTTGTGCTGGGACCTTGTCTTCACCTTCGACAGGTGCTGCCACTCTTCGGTAACCTGAGCAACGACGTGCGCTGCACACGCGACCAAATCAAATATAATCCCGCTTCCATGGGGTGTTAAGTCACATGTCTTCTTCGTTGGTTGCATTCGCGCCCATAGGACTCGTGTAGCTTTTCGGCTTAGGGATCTCGCAGGCGTTGGCGGGACCTCATGACGCAAAGGGGTCGAACCAGCGTGGGATCCAACACCACGTGTGCCCCCAATCGATCAGGTCAAGTCCAGAGGTTTATGCTTCTTCTGGTCCTCCGACGTATGGTCAATGTACTTGGTGTGTCTTGCTCAAGGTGCGCGCTGCCCGACTGCAAGTGCACCTCAGCTCCTCCCGTTTCCTCGCGTTCTCGGAAGAGCTTGGGAGGTTCGATGGGGGAGGAGCACCAGGCTCAGAAGGGGCCTCCTGTGTGCGTCCTGATCCCCCTTCCCGAGCTTGCGGCCCCCCCTCCGAGGAGTCTGGAGGCCGCTCCGCCGGCGCTGCTGCTGAGCTCTGGCCTTGCAGCGTGGAGCCTGGCGCCCGAGCTGGGACGCGAGGGTGAACTTTCAGCTCGCCATCGCCGCCTTCAGCTCCCACATCTGGAGTCACAAACAGCAGCGTCATAGATGATCAGAAGTTTTCGGAAGTCCGTGCGGATCTCCTGGGTGAGCGCTGGGGGGAGGAAGGGGGTCCAGCGCCGACCCAAGAGTTCAGCGCGGGCCTCTGAAAGCTAATGTTATGGAGTTTTGTGTCTTTTCCTCCAACATTCCCACCGAGCGGTCTTCCGATCTTCGCGGGCTTCATCCCAGCACCCCTTGCATTCGCCGTACAGTCCTCTGCCGCTCATGCGCTGTGCAGTGCCTCCTGGAGGTGCTTTGGGGACTTGCTGCGCGAGTGTGCGCACATGCACCTCGCTCTTATCCGCCCGCGCGTGCGTAGAAGCCAGCTCCCCTTTTGAATGCGCCAGGGCTTTCAGGATGACGGGTAAGTTGGGGGGTGTTGTTCTGTCCTGTCACGGCGTAGACGGCAATGGGGCGGCCATGCACCGAATCTCACTCCAGTGCCAGTCCACGTTCGAAGGTGAGGGCGCGCGGCACGCCGGGAATGGACGAATTTGGCAGAGGGAGCGAAGCGGGAAGGGAGAGATGCGGCGGCGTTGATTGTTGCACCGGCGCGACTCACTGGGCCAACAGGAGGAGCACTGTGCAGAGAGCTGGCGAGGCGAGCCGCGCTTTCTGCTGGACAGCCGTTTGGCTCAAGTTTTGCTTCTGCGCTGGGGATCCGACGGCCATGGCGGCTGCGAGCAACCAGTCAGACGAGGAAGAGGAGGGTGAGGAGGACAATCGCCCTGCGCTTGCCCTTTGCTCTCCTCTCTTGGGGCCCACCGGCCCATGTCGGAGTTACACAGGGCGCAGGAGGGCAGGGCTAGTGGGAGCGCCAAGAGCCCAGCTTCGATGACACCAGGAGGTCGGAGGCATAGCTGACTCTCGTGCTCGTCCTACTCCCCCCCGACATGGCAACATCGAGGCAGTGCACCATTCTAGCGAAAGCCAGCCATTGGCGGGAGCCTTGCGTAACGTGGCGATACGCTCATTTTCCCGCCCAGGCTAGATGGCACTAGTTGTCCCCAATGTGCCAGCTTGTGGACTGCGTAGCCAGCCTGCCTGGGAGGGAGGAGGTCGGAGCGAGGAGCGAGGTGGAAGGGAGGGAGGGGTGTGGTTGGTAGGAAGGAGGAAGGATGGGGAGGGAGGTGGAGAGGGAGGAGGGGTGATGGTGGTGAGTGACGAGGGAGGGAGGATGAGCCAGGGTGAATGGAGGCAGGATGACGGTGAGAGAAGGTAGGCAGGATCGGCATTGCGACGACGATCATTATGGTGACGCTGCTGCTACTGCTACTGATGATGATGCTGCTGCTGCTGATGATGATGATGATGACGATTATGATGATGATGATGATGCTGCTGCTGCTGCTGATGATGATGCTAATGATGATGCGGATGATGACGATCATGATGACGACGATGATGATGATGATGATGCTGATGATGATGATGATGATGATGATGAGGATGAGGATGATGATGCTGGTGATGATGATACTGATGATTATGATGCTGAAATTTCGAACAGCATATAAGCAATATTCAACTTTTTCGACTCCGACTTCGGCTGTGCGTGTAATGACACCAGCCGTCGCTAGGCTTGGAGGTGTGTCCGGGGTGGTTCTGGCTCTGGTGCAACATGTTCGAGCACGCCATTTCGATCCCAACATCTCGAGAGGTATCTCTCCTTCGCGCGCTTTGTCTTCGATAACGCGTTACCCGGTTTTCTCTTGAGGTCTTGCGGATTCGGTTGGTCATTCTGTCCCGGCTCTTCTTGGTTTTCGTCGCTCCTTACCCTCCCATGCTACAGCTGATCGAATAACTTTGCCTATGGCAGGTCGGCTCGTATAGCGATCCGAGTTTGGCTGGCGATTTTCTGCTTCACGTTACTGTGCCAGTCACGCTGTAGTGAGTTTCAGTGGTCTCGCGCTCTCCATCTCCCTCCCCCCCGAAAAAAGCTTTGCATTCATTTGGCGGCTAATGCCAGAATCCCACTCGGGGTGGTTGGGGGTTTCTCTTCCTTCTCTCTTCTCTCGTTCGTTGTTTGTCGTGTGTTGTTGTGTGGTGTGTGTCTTGCGGTGCTGTTCTGTTGGTGCTCGTTCGTTCTCCACTCTCTCTCTCTCTGTTGTGCTCTGCCCGAGTGCCGTCCTGTCCTGCTAGACCCGCTTGGCCAACGACACACGAAAGAGTGTCATGGCCTGGGGGGATGATGCTGCTGATGATGATAATGGTGATGGTGATGATGTTGATGATGATCATGATGGCGATGGTGGTGGAGATGATGCTGCTGGTGCTGATGGTGATAACGGTGATGCTGATGCTGCTGATGATGATGATACTGATGATGTTGATGCTGATGATGATGATGATGACGACGACGACGATGATGATGATGATGATGACGATGATGATGATGATGATGATGATGATGATGATGATGATAGTGATGGTGCGGATTATCCGTAATGGCTTCCCCCCCTGCCGCCGGCCCCCGGTCTATCAGACTGGGACATATCAGAGTCGCGTCGGTGCGTCTCGGCGCTGCCTTGGCGCATCTGGGAACATCATGCGTGGGCGCATAGAAATCGAAGACGCCTACGGCGAATCACCGCCGCCCCCTGCCTTTTTGGAAGCGCCTGCGTGGCCGAAAGTTGGGTTTGAGCTTGGCCAAGCTATCGGGCCACGCGTTCCCCGAGTGGGTTTCGAAAGTCTTCGGGGAACACGGGGTCGGAGCCGTCTTCGAGGCGTCTTTGCCGTCATGGGGACATTTTGGGCCTTTTGCGCTATCTTGGGGCGATCTTGGGGTCCTCTTGGGCCGCGGTGGATCGTCGGAAGGCCGAAAAGAAGCAAATGCGAACATCTGTCAACCGCCTAAAGCAAATCATTGTTTTTGGCTTCTTGGGGCCTTCCTGGAGGACGTCCTGGCGGCATCTTGGGCTGTCTTGGAGGCATCTTGGGCGCCTCTTGGGCCACCTTCGGCTCTTTTGGGGATATTTCTGCCGTCTTTTATGCCATCTTGGTCGTCTTGGAGGTCATCTTGGCAGTCTCGAGGTATCTTGGAGACCATCTTGGCCGTTTTGGGGACCTCTTGGGCCGTCTTGGGGCCCTCTTGGGGCTGGCTTGAAGGCCTATTGGGCCGTTCTGGAGCCATCTGGGAGGCCTCTGGGACTAGTTTGGGGACTCCTTGGGCCGTCTTAGGCGGTCGGAGCACCAAAACCGAGGAAGAACACACATCCTTCAAACACCTAAGGAACATTTAAGATGTTGGCTTCCTCGGGCCTTCCTGGAGCACCTCTTGGACTCCCATGGGGCAATCTCGAAACCTCTCGGGCCCATCTTGGGCCATCTTGGCCGTCTTAGTGGCCATCTTGGCCGTCTTGAAGCTAATCTTGACCGTGTTGGAAGCATTTTGGAGGCAATCTTGGGCGTCTTGGAGACCGCCTTGGGCGTCCTGGAGGCCTATGGAGCCGTCTTGGCGCCCTCTTGGGGCCGTCTTGGCGGCCTCTTAGGCCGTAATAGGGCTATCTTGGAGGCCTCTTGGGCGCTCTGGGGGCGATCTTTAGGGCTCCTTCGGCCGTCGTGAGCTGTCGGAAGGCTCGAAAAGAACAAAAAGCCAAAATCCTTCAAACACCTAAGGAAAGCATTGATTTTGACCTCTTCAGGCTCTCGTGGAGGACCTCTTGGAGGCCTCTTGTTCCGTCTTGGGGGCCTCTTGGAGGTCTTTTGGAGGACTCTGTGGCCGTCTTGGGCCGTCTGAGAGGTTTCTTGTGCGAACTTGGTGGCATCTTGGACTCTCCTGGGCATAACATCATAACCGAAGAAACTCTCACTGCCTAGTCGGCGGGCTCAACGGTCATCACCTTCAATGGGCAATGCGATTATCCAATGGGCAATGCGAATGCGAGTTGCTGTTTTGCACTCGGGTGTCTTAGAGTCTTATCGCGCGGCCCGCTCCGGCCTAGCTTGTTGTTACAGACAGCCTTGTCAGCCCGCGCTGCTGGCAGGCCTGCGACTCAAAAACAAAGAAACATCTTGGACTCTCCTGGGCAGTCTTGGAGGCCATCTTGGACCATCTTGGGCGAACCTGGAGGCCATCTTGGGCCATCCTGGCCATCTTGAAAGCCATCTTGGAGCCATCTGGAGCAGGAGCAACTTGTGGAACCACCTTTTCCGGGCCATTCGGGGACCCCGGCGGGCGGGGCCGAACCCCCAGGGGGAGTTCTTTTGGAAAAGAACCAAAATCAAAACCGAAAGGGTTCAGCACGCTGGGCACCCCTGTGATGAATCAACAGGGGGCGGCGGATCATCAGCGGATATTGAGACGTTAGCGTTATCTAAGGCGCCTACGGCGAATCACCGCCGCCCCCTGCCTTTTTTGCAAGTGCCTATGTGGCCGAACGTTGAGGCCAGACCTGCCAAGCTATCGGACCATGTGTTCCCCGAATCGGTTTGGAAAGCCTTCGGGTAGCACGTGGGCATCTTGAGTCATCTTGGCCGTCTGGAGGCCATTTGGACCCTTCCGCGCCTTCTTGGAGGACGTCTTGGAGGGCTCTTGGGCCGTCTTGGAGGCCATCTTGAGCGTCTTGGAGGCCTCTTGGGCCGTCTTGGGGGCCTCTGGGGGCCGTCGTGGGCCTCTTGGGCGATCTTTGGGGGCACTTGGGCCGTCTCGGGCCGTCGGAAGGCAAAACAAAAATAAGCAAATGCCACAATCCTTCAACAACTCATGGGAAATCAATGATTTTGGTCTTTTCGGCCCTTCCTGGAGGCCCTCTTGGAAGCCTCTTGGGCCGTCTTGGGCCATCTTAGGGCCATCTTCGGCCGTTTTGGTGGGCTCCTGGCCCGTCCGACGCCGTCGGAAGCCGTTTGGGGGGCCCCTCTGGGCCGAGGGCCCTCTTGGAATGCTTCAGGGCCGTCTTGGAGGCCATCTTGTGCGTCTTAAAGGCCTCCTGGGCCGTCCTGGGGGCCTTTTGGGGCCGTCTTGGGGGCCTCTTGGGCCGTTCTGGGGCCATCTTGGAGGCCTCTTGGGCGATCTTTGGACGATCTTTGGGGGCTCTTGGGCCGTATCGGGCCTTCGGATGGCCGAAAAGAAGCAAATTTCAAAACCCTTCAACAGCCGAAGTAAAATCAATGCTTGTGGCCTTTTCTGGCCTTCCTGGAGGCCCCCTTGGAGGCCTCTGGGGCCGTCTTGGGCCAGCTTCGAGCCAACTTCGGCCATCTTGGTGGGCTCCTGGCCCGTCTGACGCTGTCGGAAGCCGTTTGGGGTGCCTCTCTGGGCCGACTTGGGGCCCTCTTGGGGTGCTCTAGGGCCGCCTTAGAGGCCATCTTGGGCGCCTTGGAGGCCTCTTGGGTCGTCTTTGTCCCCTCTTGGGGCCGTCTTGGGGGCCTCTTGGGCAGTCCTGAGGCCATCTTGGAGGCCTCTTGGGCGCTGTGGGGGCGATCTTGGGGGCCTCTTGGGCCGTCTTGGGTCGTCGGAAAGCCGAAAAGGAGCAAATATGAAAAGCCTTTCAAAACCTTAGGAACATCCATGACTTTGGCCTCTTCGGGCCCTCCTGGAGGACCTCTCGGAGGCCTCTTGGGCCGTCTTGGAGGCCTCTTGGGCACCTCTTGGGCCGTCTTGGATGTTTCTTGGGCGGACTTGGAGGCATCTCCTCATCTCTTGGGCGGACTTGGAGGCCATCTTGGACCATCTTGGAGGCCATCTTGGGCCAACGTGGCCTTCTTGGAGGCCATCTTGAGCCGTCTTGGCGGATTTTTTTTCGGATTGAGCGCCTTTCCGGGTGGCCAGCGGGACGGGCCGAAGCCCCAGGGGGAGTTCTTTTGGAAAAAGAGCCAACACCATGTCATTCGGCACGCCAGGCACCCCTGCTATGAATCGACAGGGGGCGGCGGATCCTAGTGGCCTTCGGCCCATCACGTCACCGTGCCTGGGTTGGTCTGGGGAGCCTCTCGTGGGCCTCTTGGAGGCGGTTTGGGTGCCTCATGGGGGCCTCTGGGGGCGTCGTGGGGTATCGTTTAGGCCTCTTGGGCGCCTCTTGGGTGCCTCTTGGGCGCCTCTTAGGGGCCTCTTGGGGTCCCTTGTCGGCCTCTCGAGGCCTCGTGGGGGTTATTCGGGGCACACACATCGAACTTTCGGTTCGTGGTCCCCTGCTTGGGCCCCTCTTGGGTCCGTCTTGGGGCCCTCTTGTGCCGTCATAAGTGATTATTGGGCAATCGGTCGTCATGGGGCCCTCTTGGAGGCATCTGGGGCTATTTTGGGGCGATCTTGAGAGCTTCTTGAGCCGTCTTGGAGCGTCGGAAAGCCGAAAATGCGAGAAGGCCAACATTCTTCAACAACCTTCGTGGTATCAATGATTTTAGCCACTTGGGACTCTCTCGGGAGGCCTCTTGGAGCGCTCTTGGGGCCTCTTGGGGCCCTCTTGGGCCGTCTTGGGACCATCTTCGGCTGCCTTGGGGCACTCTTGACCTCGGCAGTGCGAATCTGGCTTAGTTTGCGAAGGCTTGTTGTGGCCTCGGGGACGCGAAGGGTTTGTTGCCTCGGGGGCGCAAGCATCTAGTAGTTTGTGAGGGCCGATGGCCTTGGGGACGCGAATCTTGCGCAATGTACGAGGGATTGTGGCCTCGGGGGCGCGAGTCTCATGTATTTCTACATGTCCCACGCCCCCCAGGGAATTCAGGCAACGCGATTCGGGCGTGGTAAGTTGGGTGGTTTGGGGTCCCCCCTCGCGTGGACCTGAATCATTAACAGTAGGAATCAGAAAGCAGAGCTGTAACGCTGGAGACTTGAAACTGCAACTGGTGCAGGGAGCAGCATCCTAGTCCTACAGCCTGGTGGCCTCACAGGGGGGCCGGCGGACACTATTGGTGATTGGTGGTTGGTGATTGACGGTTGGTGATGACCGTGACGGCGACGACGACGAGGAGGATGATGGTGATGATCATGGTGATGGTGGTGGTGGTGATGGTGATTGTGATGGTGGCGGTGATGATGATGCTGAAGGAAGGCGGGTTGAGTAGAAACGGGTGAGGATGGAGGGTGCGGGTTTGGGAGTGGAAGGAGGAGTGACATTAGGAGCACCAGCAACATCAGGCAGCAGGCAGCTGGCAGCACACACTTCTGCGATCAATCCTCGTTTGTCAGCTCCGAGGCAGGAGCGTTCATTCCCACATCGTCGCAGAGGCCAAGGGAGAGGAAGGAGGAGAGAGGGGGAAATGGGTGGGGCGATGGGTAGACATGGGGGACGAAAGGCGTTGTAGAGGTGCTCCATGCTTCTATGGATGTCAGTCATTTGGGTTCCTTGGGGGATAACAAGCGACCTTCGGCTCAAACCGCCGCCGTGCCTGGATTGTGAACAAGATCGGGAGGAATAACAAAAAACACACGGACACAATTAATCGTCGGTTCCCCAGAAAATGCCAGAAAATATGGGAAGTGTGGGGGGGACGACCAGAGCCCCGAAAATATAGGAAATATGGGGAATCCTGTTATTTGTGTCTATTTATTTGTTTTTCCCCGGGCCCCATTCACAAGAGGCCACTCGGATGCATCCCGGCCCCCTACCCGAGATGTATGGAAATCCGTGGCATGGGGCATTTCTTACAAGTCCCAGTGTAGAGAACTCGGCGGGACCAAAGGACGTTCCACTCGCTGCCTTGCGGAACTGTGGCGGATGCGGCAAGGGACGGTGATGACGGAAAAGAACAAGACAGATGATGATGTGAATGAGCAGTAGAAGGACGATGACCTCCGTCGCTTGCTACGCCTGTGGCCGTTCCTTGGAAGGATGAGGTGTGTACCTGGGCATTTGTCCTTGCCCGCCTCCCCCCTCCTGGTTCCTCTTGGTTTCGCTCTCCTCCAAACCCATCCTCCCCCTCCCTCCCTTCCTCCGCCTCCTCCTCCACCTACCCCTATCACTCTTGCTCCTCTTCTTGTTTTATGCTTCTCCGCATATTTCCCCCTTCCCCTCCTTCTCCCTGCCTCCTCGCAGAACCCGGGGAATGCGACGAGAAATTGCTGTATTGCCGAGCGAAATGTGATCACACCTACCTTTCTAACGACTCTGCATTTTTGGCCGCGTCTTCACGGCGCCAGGCATGCGGAACCACTGGCGAGCACAGGCTGCCCGGCTCTTGTCTCCCCCCCACGCCGATTCGCACTGTGCCCGCCGAGGGGCACCACGCGGCGGCCAGTCGAAAAGATCGGTCGGCAGCATCTCCAGCATCACCCCCTCCCCTCCCTCCTCCCCCGCCCCCTCGCGCTCTGCAGCGGCTCTGCCGCGCAGCGCTGAGCACAATAGCTATAGTTTTGTGTTCTTGTGATTTGTCTCTCTTATCTGTCGGCTGTTGCATTATGTTTAGCAGGTATAAGAGTGCCAGTAGTATTGAGGACGGCGGACTGCCATTCCATCGTTCGATGACGACGACGACGCCCCCACGCGCTATGTTCGCGGCGGCAGGGTCGGAGCGGCTCGGACGCAGGGCTGGTGAGTGGGGCCGCTCCTCTTGAGCCCTCCGCCCGGCGCCCGGCGCCGTGGGCTCTTTCCGCCTACCTGGAGTGCACCAGTTCGGTGCCCCCCCCCGTTCTTGCCTCCGACAGGACCTCTCGGCTCTCCTGCCGCGCCCCGCCTGCCTTGGGGCCGGGCTGGCCTCGCCGCCCGCGCCCCGCTCGGCCTCCCCGCGCCCTGCCTGGCTCTCGGGCCGACCCCTCTGCTGGAGGTGGTCCCGCGCTGGCCGCCGCCCCCGGGTCGTCTTCGCAGGTCGCGAGTGACCCCGGCACCCTCGGCCCACGGGCACTTTTGCATACACTTTCGTCGCCAGCCTCCGCTGGGCACTGCCCCCCCCAGGGCGCCCTGCCGCCGGCAGCCCGCCTTGCTGGCTCCCCCTCCCCCCTTCCAGCCGCCGCTTCGCTGCCGCCGGGCCCCGCCCCCCGCCGCCGCCTGGCTCTGCTCTGAGCGGGCCCGGCTTCCTCCCTCCCGCCGTCGCCGGGCGCCTCCTCGCGTTCGTTCATCTTCCAACGCCCCAGCGCCAGCGCAGTCACTCTGCCTAGCCGCCGACGCAAACAAGTGTGTGTGTGTGTGTGTGTGTGTGTGTGTGTGTGTGTGTGTGTGGAATCCTCCATTCTAGGACCTCCGCGCATTCGAAACTCCATGGTGCTCCGAATGTCTCGGCGCGTGAAGCCCAATGGCGTGTGGCCAGCGTGTGGAAGCCCATGGCGGCAGCGCCCCGAACGGCCCGACCCCAACACACCAGGCCAATTCTTTAGAAGCCGAGCGGGGAACCCCTCAGGTGGGCGATGCGTGACAAAAGTGAGGAGAGGGGGAGCATGGGCTCTACCCAGAGGTTGACCGCCTTGCTGGAGCGGTTCAGACCAGTCAGTTGTGCCCAAGTCTGGGCGGGCAAGCGGTATAGAAGGGCAAACATTTGGGCCTACACTCCCTTTTTCGTTGTCTCCTGCCGGCTATTCCTGCCGATGCTTCTCCAGCTTAAATCCCCTCTTCCTCTTTCTCCTTCTTCTCCTTCAACCCCCCATCATCGGCTCCTCCTTCCTCCTCCCCTCTCCCCTTCTCCCCTTCTCCCATTATATACTCTCTCCTCCTCCCATGTTCCTCCCTCCTACCCCCGTTCTCTCTTCCTCCCCGTCCTTCGCCCCTCTTTCCCCCCTCTCCCCATCCCGTCTCCTTCTGCTCCTCCTCCTCCTCATCATCATCATCCTCCTCCTCTTCCTCTTCTCCCCATCCCCGCCCTCCTTCTCCCTCTGCCCTCCTTGATCACCTGTGCTTTGCCGGGGAGCCTGGCCAGCCTAGCGCCCAGGAGACCGTTGAGTCGTACTCGTACAGTTACGAAGAGCACGAGGGCTCCTCCTCCTCGGCGCCTGGCTCGGCCGCGACGCTTTGAGGCAGGTGCGATAGTCAATGGAACGTAGGATATCCCAATGCATAGGTTCACCTCGTTGACCTCCGCCGTTGACGCTGGAGCCTCTGCAGGCCCTGGGTGCGCCCCTGGCCTCGCATCGAAGGGCTTCTTTGGGCGAGCAGTAGCGTGAACACGCGCATCCAGGCTCTTCTTACCAGTTTGAAGCAAATCCCTAGCCCCATGTCTGGCATCACCTCACCTCGATGCCGATCTGAAGTAAATATTCCTTCAGGTTCTGCGAGCACGTCCCTAAGGTTGTCCTCGCTTTTTGCGCGCCCATCTTAGGAACAGGGATAAGTTCGAGGCTGGCTATCTTCGACTAGGGGAGGAGAGAGGAGGGCGGGCCGGGCGTCCGATCAGAAGGCATGCCCAGAGGAGCGCCCGCTCGAGGAGGCCCTTGCCGATAGCCTCAGTGCAGCAGCCCTGGCCAGCCAGCAGGTCACGGCACGGAAGGCTCAGCGGTTTTGATTCTGCGCTCGCCCGTGGAGAGCGATGCCGATTCTTGCTCTGGGGCCACCCCGCCAAAGATGAGCCGTGCGCCGGATCGCGACGAACTGCAACGCCGGAGCCGCGCGCTGGCTGACCCTCTGGCCGAGCCTCCTCGCTGGGACAGCAGAGTGTTCACCAGCTCGCTAGCACAGTACGACTAGTATGCGGTGTCTGAATTGTAGTGGGTCTTCTAGCAACTTTAACTGGGGCACGAATTGAAGCACAGTTTTGATGAGTTGGCTGCGAATCAAAACTGTGATGAAAAGTAGAGTAGGCAGGTGACTTGAGGGACTAGTAGAATAGGCAAAGGTAGAGAGACATATCATTCTTCCCCAGTCAGTGCTTGTACTGAAGGGGTCCTCGCGGAGACGGATGGATTTGGCGAAATTCCCGAGCCGACTTCGGTAGGCGGCTGGGTTCTGGGGTTCCCGGTTCCCGATTTCGTGGTCTTGGGTAGTATACGGTTTGGTGGGTTTCCGGTTTCCCATTTCCCTTTGCTGGATTCCTGACAGGGTAAGACTATGGCCAAGCGCCTGGGTTGTGTCTTGATTGTGGCTTCTGGCGTAAAATTTCTGCGTCGGCGTAAGATTGTTCTGGCGTTCTGGTTGTCCTGGCGTAAGGTTTCAGGATACCTTAGTTGTGGCCAAGCGCCTTGGTTTTCCATCGTAAAGAATGCAGGGGCTAGGAAGTCGCTAGCAGAGTTGACAAGAGGGGTTGGCGAGAGAGAGAGAGAGAGAGTATTTGCGACCACTGTTAGGTATAATCTTGAATGATGGATGGGGAGGCCCGGATGAGAGGGAATATAGTGCATAGCACAAGTCAGAGAGCACAGGGCGAATTTATATTTATATTTATATATATATATATATATATGTATAGAGAGATATCACATACAACACATAACATATTTTTATTAAAGCGAAAGGCAGATACACATTTAATTATGTATAAAGATGGAGACGCAATCGATGAACACACAAGTTATACAAACCAGAAAACATGACTCCAGTAGAGACCATGTCTGGGACAGCGGCGTGCAGAGCGAGGTGTGAGGCCATACCAAGTAAATGGAGACTTCATGTATAGAAAGAGATGTAACATGCAGAAATCGAGAGAGTGATATCTATATGTATTAATTTATATATTTACGCATTTGTATATCATATACATATACATATTGATATAGAGAGAAAGCAGTTAGGTGGAGAGGACAGGCCTGGAGTTTACGCGAAAGTTACAGCACATCCACTTTTTATCTTGTTCTCTGATGTAGCGCGTATACATACATATACATATATATGAACCTTCCAAGGAAACCTATGCGGAGTCCACCTGAGCGTGCGCGACGCCGTTGATGGATAACGTGAGTTTCATCCATCTTCCGTAGCTGTGTTGGCTTGCGACAGGCAGCGGAGTCACCGGGCGGTGCCGCCCGTCTGTGGCCGCTGCCGAGCCACTCTGTCTACTGAAAGACTGCCGCGCCGCGCGCGGCCACTTGCAGGGCCACGCTCAGACGACTGATTCTGATCAGCCTCGCTGGCAGCCTTGGTGGGGTGAGGGGAGCGAGGACCTGGCTGGGAGACGAGGATCCCGGGCGCGGGTCGCCCCTCTCCCGCTTTGTTGCTGGCGAGGAGCCCGATGGACCGGGCAGCCCCAGCTGCCGGCGGGTGGCCCTTCCCGAGAGGAGCCTGGCTCGACGCGGCGCTGAACGACGAGCTGGGGGCGGGGCTGCCGCCGAGGGCTGGTGCACGGGTCCTGGCGCGGGTCTAGGACGACGCAGGGGCGCCGCAGGGCGTCGAGATGCTCGAGGTCGAGGTCGCCTACCAGGCGGACACTTTCGGCAGATTCATCAAGGCCCGGCAGGTGGGCGCCAGGGACCCGTACATCTCATTGTAGGCGGCCACCTGCGGGCAGCGGGGCGCACGCCCCGCGGCCACGGTCTTCCACCTCTGCAGGTGCAGCGCCAACAAGTGCGGGACGGTCGCTCCAGCTGGCGCTGTGGTCGAGCACTTGGTCGTGTGGCAGGTAGTGGACCCCCGCGGCGTGGCCCGCGAGCGGGCGAAGCTCATCTGCCCAGCAGCGAATCCTGGGGCGCCTGTGCGGACCGACGCGCCCTCGGCCGAGCCACTGCCTGGAGAGGACGGCGGCTGGCCGCTCGGGGATGGGAGCAACAAAGTCGAGGAGGAGCCTCGCGGGCCTCCGCACAAGTGCGCCCGCGAGGTGGAGGGCACCCTGACCCCGGGCGGTCCAGGAGAGGCGAGCCCACTCGACCAGGAGATCGCCGGGCTCGAGGAGACCGCCGAGGACCCCGAGCTCGAGGCGCGGCTGGCGCGGCTGGAGGGCAGGGCAGCTCGTGGTGTGCCGAGGCAGGGCACGCCCAAGAACGCTGCGCGCCCGGCAGGAGCCGTAGGCGAGCGCCTGGCACAGGAGGTTGCTGGCCGAGCCGCCGCTGCTGCCCCAGCGCGCACTGGCGCCTCGGGGAGGAGGAGCAGGCCAGCATCGGCCGTGACCGCGGCGCTCCTGGACCGCGACGACGACGACGTGGAGGACGGCGCGGAGAGCGACACAGGGCGCCTTGGGGGCCGCGACCGCTACCAGGGCGTGAGCAGCAAGCGCGACTTGTTCGGCTGGATTGCTTGACAGCGGCCCGACGCTCTCCTCGTGAGTGGGCTTGGCCACCTGCGCAGCCAGTTCACTCAGCAGTTGTCTGCAGGCGAGGCCGACCTGCGGGCCCCGTGTGTCGCACAGTTCCTGAACACGGTGTTCTTCGATGCTCACCCGCCGCAGACGCTGGGGTCAGTCGAGGGGCGGGTCCTCCGCCCGCCGGGGCTGGCGCTCGACGGCATCCTGCGCGGGGAGGTCATCAAGACGGCGGATCTGGTCGTGCTGGAGTTCAAGGCGCGGTCGATGGCCATCCGCGACGGAAGCTGGCAATCGGCACGATGGCTCACGCTGGTTGCGCAGGAACAGCTTCCGTCAGGCACCTCTCTGGACGAGGAGAACGCTGCCGAGAAGGTCGAGGCCCGGGAGCTGAAGGTCGCCGAACTCCACCAGCGACTTGCAGACCGCAGGCCGGGCTGGGGGCCTGGCCGGGAGCCGTCTCCGTTGCTGGGGGGGACGGCACCTGCAGGCCATGGGCGCGCGGAGGCGCGCCGCCCGCCCCCTGCTCCCGGGACGCCAGACTCAGGATCGCCCGAGGCGATGAGGATCCTTGCCGGACGAGACCCAGGCGACGGTCCAGCAGCTCTCCGCGCCGGGAAGAAGCCGCCAGCAGCGCGGAGGACCAGCTGCAGTCCCACGCGGTCGGTCCAGCTCCTGAGCGACTCCGAGGGGGACCTCGACGCAGCAGCCGCCGCCCGCGTGCCACCAGCGGACGCGGCTGCAGGCCGGAGCTTCGCGCAGCACAAGGCGGCCCACCCGAGGCGCGAGGGCGAGACCCAGGCGGCGTGGAAGGCGCACATTGGGAGGCCGCCGGCTGCCAAGAGCCGCGGCAAAGGCAAGACGGGGAGGAGCCGCGGCACGAGCACTGCCCGCAGGACAGCCCGGGTTCGGGCGTGAGGGCTGACGCTGCGGAGGCCGCGGCCTCGCGCTCGCCCCCGCCTGCCCTCCGCCCGCCTGAGCGGCAGCTGCGCGGCAGCTCGCGGGCTCGGCGGTGGCGCCAGATGCCAGCCGAGGTGGGCGCAGGTGTCAGCTCCAAGTTCAGGCTCGCCCTCGCGGTCCACGAGGCGGCGCACGGTTCGCCAGGGGCGATCGGGCGGTATGTTTGTGAGATGTGCACTTCGCCAGACCCCACGGCCAGCTTCGCGCGGCTGCGCGAGGTGTCGCCGTTACCGTTGCCCGACGCCCCACTCTTCGAGAGGCACCGCGCCGCCTGGTACTTGCACCAGCAGTTGCCGGAGACCTGCGAGGTGGACGCCGCCGCGGCGCAGGGGTGGGCCCTGCTCGTGGACTTCAGCCTGAACTACCCGTACATGGGGCACATGCGTTGTCCAACCGTCGCCGCGAGGCGGCCCACGGCAGGTCAGATCAGTGCGCTCGGCATTGTGCAGGAGGTGTGTGTGAACTTCGTTCAGGATGCTGCCGCAGCGTTCGAGCTCCCGGACTGGGACCAGGTCATCGCGTCGAAGACCGACTCCCACGGGGGCGAGGTGACGTCCCGCGCCCCGCCGCTCTCGCTTGCAGGCAACATGCCAGGCCTCCCCGCGCAGGGCGCCCCCGCATCGGTCAAGGCGGTCGACCTCGCGGACGCTCAGGCGGGCGCCTGGCTTGCCGGCCCCACGCTGGCTTTGCTCCCTCGGGATGAGTCGCCTGCCGAGGTCCCGCGGGCGGCGATCCAGGTCACGTCCAAGCAGGAGTGGTACCGCATCTGGACCAAGCTCGTCGAGCTGGGGCTGGCTGCGCCGATCGCCGACGACCGCATCTTCAAGGTCGGGAGCCGCAGGGTGCTCGCTGAGGCGTTCGGGGAC